GGGGCAGGATGGTGTCATGGATTGAATTGTGTTCCATCAAAATATGTGTCAATTCGCTAAGCCATGATTCTGTTGTTTGGCATTTATGTAATGATGCCATTTGGCAGTTATGTAACGATGTAACTATCCCCCATGATGAGATCAGCCAAAAAACTGTAAGGAGGTTAGGGTGGGGTGCAACCCTTACTCATATACTATACTTGATCTGAGCCAAAACGCCAAGAAGCAATTGTAACACCCTTACTCAGGTCACAACTTTGATTCAATGGAAAGAGCATTCTCCTTGGATGTGACCTGCATCACTTCCTATCTTACAAGATATATAAGGGGAAAGAAATGAGCATAGACGGAACAATCTATTACCACCAAGAAAGAAGAATCAGAAGCAGAATATGTCCTTTGGACTCAGGGTCCCTGTGCTGAGAAGCTCTTAGACCTATGGAGAAGATTGCTGTCAAGCCACAAGAAGGAATGCGTGACTCACAGCTGCTGAAGGAAGGCAAGGACCTTCCTCCTAAATAGTGAGCCAACAGAGAGAAAATCTTTTCCTAGAGCTGGTGCCCTGAGTTTGGACTTCTAGTCTTTTAACCTATGAGAGAATAAATTAGAACGAGAGAGAGAGAGAGAGAATATGTGTTCTGTGATCGGGAACTCAGGTTCTAACACAAACAGATTTGAATTCAATCCAACTTTACAATTTCTCAGGTGGTCTTCCAAGAAGTAGCATCCAAATCACCTAGGAACTTCTTAGAAATGCAAATTCTTAGCCCACCCCCCCATTCCAATTGGACTGATTCAGAAGCCCTGAGCCCACACATCTGTGTTTCAATATTCCTTCAGATAATGCTGATGCAGGTCAAGTGTGAGAACCATTACTTAATAGGTGAGTAACCTTGTACAGATTCACATCTTTAAACCTTAAGTCTCCAAATCTGTGAAATATTAAAAGTACCAACCATGTAGAATTTTGATAGCAAAATAACACAATTCCTGTAAAGTTCTTAGTACATAATAAACATTTAATAGATATTAGTTATCTGAGCAAACTGTCCTTTGTGCCATGGGTGGCTATAAAGTTGGGTTATTAGGGGTTTTTTTTGGAATGGCCGGTGGGAACCTTTGAGTTAAATGACTCAGAGTTTACCAGCTTTATTGGTCTTTTCTCACTTCATGTCGATCAATAGAACACCAGTCATTTACGCCTGCATCGTCCTCTACCTCTGTGCCTTCATTATTCCTGTTCTGCTTGCCCAGAATATCCTTCTACCTTCTGCCCATATTGCCCAAATCTTACTTCTCCTAAAAGTATCATCTCCAATTACCTACCTCCCTGAAGTCTTCTCTGACTATTCCTGGTCAAATAAATAATAATAACTTTGATTATTATCTTATTATGTGTGTTGCAGGTTTTCACTCCCAAACATATGCATGCATTCTACTGGTGATTATTTCACAGCTAGTTGTCTTGTCTCTTTAATTATAATAAAAGCTTTGAGCAAACAGAGATGATACCTTCTCTATCACATTAAAAAAATAAAAGTTTTTAAAAAGCAACCAACTGCCTGCAAAGTGATTCCCACTTATAATGACTCTACACAACACAGGAGAACGTCTCTTTGGGGTTTTAAGACTCAATCTTTTTTAAAATCATTTTATTGGGGCTCATATAATTCATCACAATCCATACATACATCAATTGTGTAAAGCACACTTATACATTTGTTGCTCTCATCATTCTCAAAATTCGCTTTCTGCTTGAGTTCCTGGAATTAGCTCCTCATTAAGACTCAATCTTTATGGGAGTAGCCAGTCTCTTCTTTCTCCCACAGCAGTTGGGGGGTTTGAACTGCTGTCCTGGCAATTGGCATCTCATCACTTAACACGCTGTACCCTCCAGGTTCCTTTGGCACCCTACAATTATTTTTAAACCTCTTCCATATCCATCCTCTGGTATGTATTATAGGAACGAACAAACTTCCCTTGCAGAACTTAGTCTCTCTAAGCTAAGGCACACTTGGAGGAATACTTTAAAAGCAAAGACTTTGAAGAATGGTAATAATTATAGAAGTTAAGGTTTGAATAAGTCTTCACAGTGTAAAAAAATGCCTTCGTACTTTTTTACCAAATATGCTTCTTAAAAAGACAAACGACCTTTCTAAAACAGGAATTATTGGTACCATTTTGCACAGGAGAAAATAGATTCAGTTGTGTTCATGACTTTCCCAAGGCTGCAAACCAAAGTCACTGCCATCAAGGCCTTTCTGACTCATAGTGACCCTATGGCACAGGGTAGAACTGCCCCTGTGGGGTTCTTCATGGGAGGAGAAAGCCCCAGCTTTCTCCCTTGGAACAGCTTGTGCTTTCAAAATGCTGACCTTCTGGTAGCCCAACAAATAACTGCTATCCTACCAGGGCTCCGTGGCCCAGGCTGAACAACTTGTAAAGGGTAGTGCTGGGGCCCAAATTCCCGTATTCTGTTGCATTTTTTACTTGGCTACTTTTGTGGGCTCAGTTGATCACTGTTAGTGTTTGCCCTTCTTGCACTGTGTTCTAATCTCTCAACCAAACCCTCGGACTGCAGGCAGGTGGTGCTTGAATAATGATGGGCCCATACAGACTTCAGATGTCAAGACAGTACACCCTCACCTGGTGTTCCTAAGCAGGCCTGGGTGATGGTCAGTTTTTCATGAGGAGCCTCACACTGGCAGCTGGTTTCACCAGCAAATGGGGCGGGGGCAGTCAGGGTCTAGAAAGAAAAAATGAGAAAAGGAATCAAATTCTTAAACTTTCCCTTGGCTTTGGAAGTTACCCCGAAATTTTCATGTCAATTGGCTACACATATATGACTAATAAGTAGAACATACACAGACTCAGGGAAATATAATATTATAAATAAAGACAGAGACATTATCACTAAGATCTTTTTGTTTGTGCTTGTTTCGTTGACGGCTGCATCAGAAAGAGCACTTCATTGTTGGAGGCCATCGAATTGGTTCCAACCCCTAGCACCCTATGAACAACCCATCAAAACCCTGCCCGGCCTTGAATCACCATCCTCACAATCAGTGCTATGTTTGAGCATATCGGTACATCCACTGCATTAAATATATGCTAATACCAGATGAGATACTCTGGACATGTTATCTTGTTAGGCTTCACAACACCCTACAGAGGCAGTTACTATCCCTATTTCACCAAAAAAGAAAAGAGGCTCAGTGGAGCTAAGAAATATGCCAAAGCTATATCTTTGGGCGATTTTTTTTGCAATGACAAATAGGAACTATTGAGCTCAAAGCTTACCTGCATGTCCTTGGAAAGTCACAATGCCCCAGTTCGAATGTTTCACACCGAACGAGAGCAATCTTCAAACATCTAGACTTATCTGCACACCTGTGTATTCGTCTGGAAGGAATGCCATACTCAGAAGCATAGCCCGACATCCCCTGTCTCTCTGTCTCTGTCTGTCTCTCTGACACACTCACACACACACACACACACACACACACACACACACACACACACACACACCAGTCTGGCCAGTCAGAAACTCTGATGTCTCTCCTCTGCAAAGGCTAAGGCCATTATCTGTGCCTCAAGAAGCCTAAAAGCATGGCAGTTCTGGCGGGCTGCGGCTAAGGCCCCTGAGGTAGCTCCAACAGCCACCACAGGCTGCAGCGAGGCCCCGCCCCAGGCAACTTGGGCTGGGCCCTGGGGAGCACTGTGAGAAAGCTGTAGTCAGTTGGAAGTCTGCCCAGGAAGTGGCCCTGCAGTTTTTAGTCTCCCTCTTACAATGAAAACCTCACTCTCTCCAGACAGAGGAAGACAAAGTGAACGGTATTTTGGTAAACAAGATAAATGCAACCCAGCCTTGGCCGTTGGTAGTCTTTGAATTTTATCTTTGTTACAGCCGTCATTACACCAGTTTTTCAGAAGTTGCTTATAAATCTGTAGTTAACTAGTCCCCATATTAGCATCACTCGTATTGCTGCATGGATTGTTCCGTAGAGATGGAGATAGATGTTTTTTCATTTGGGATGACTCAGCCAAAGACTGATCCGTAACATTGGAACAGGGGCTGAGATCCACATTGACCTTCTGCTGTTCATTCAATCACACACACACACACACACACACACGTCAGGTTATCTCTCAGAAAGTGAAGAAGGTAGAAATAGAGACAAGCCCCTACCCTTGAGAAGCCCCACCTCCTGGCACTGTCTACATCTCCTCTGCTCATTGTACCACCATCCACCATAGAAGCTTCACTGATGCTTGGAAACCTCCCAGTTGCCTGAGTCTTCCTTAACCTCCACCCTTTCTTTCAGGGCTTTGAAAACAAGCCAAGACTTGGGTTAAGGACTCAGAAAACTTGAGTCCAGTATTATTTATTGTTTTCTTTCCCTACCCGTCCCCCCCACCCCACCCCGATACATTATGGGACTACTGTGTGCAAGAGTACCATTTGTAATAAGGCAAAGGGGTACAGTGACAAACAGCAGGGTCTCTGCAGGCACAATGACCTGGGTTCAAAACCCGTTTCCAGCACTTACAAGTTGTGTACTCTAGCTTGGCTCTTCTGGTTGAAGGAACCTGACACTTGAGAGTCTCAAGGCTATTCTAGCAGAGAAACTATGGAAAAGCAAAAAGCAGAGCCTGGTCATGAGTAGAGTGCCACAGAGTGAGATTTTCTTTGCTCCACTCCATTTGCTCTATAGCTTTCCGCTATATTAAAGGTTTTGCTAGCCGTTTGCTCCCTGAGAACATTACCTTGAATACAACCCAGCGTGGTCTCCTTGGCCTCCCTCCCTTCACAACACTCATTCAACCACTATTGATGGAGCCATTCAAATTCCCAGCTCCTATTCCTTCCAACGTACTGCTTTTTTTGCTTCATGTTTTTCCACTCAAATCCCAAGAGAAGAGAATCAGAATGGTCAAGCACATCTGTTCAAGCCAGACCACAACCACAGTTGGCTAGCGTTGGACCAGGTGCCCGCTCCAGAACCAACCCGCGGGAGAAGAGGAGGACTGGTGAAAGAGATCTGGGATGTTGGGTTGTTGCCCTTTTTGGTAACAAACCAGAAACCAATGTATTGCTTCTTAGCCAGGAGGAAACCAGGGAAATAAAGACCCTGAGCTTACTCTTTGTCGCCAGCATTTTGTGTGGTCCAACCCAATGGAAGCCCATCGGTCCAATCTACAGCAGAACACAGAGAAGGATAGAAGGACAGTGGGGTCAGGATTGGCAAAAGGCAGCGCCAAGGGAGAAAGAGGAGGCTTTCCAGTCCTGCAAAGAGTTACCATCTCAGAACCCTACAGGGGGCAGTTTTACCCTGTCCGCCTGAGTCCCTATGAGTCAGAATGGACTCAATCGTAGTGAGGTTGGTCTTTTTTGTTTGGGGTTGTTTTTTGGCTGGGGAATTATAAAGAGTGATTTTTCACTCCAAGGGAGACAGGAACCATTAAAGTTATGAACAGTAGGTGACATGATCTGATTTAATTTTAACAGTATCAACCTGGCTGATATGTTAAGAAGGCACTATAAGAAGTCAAAGGTAGGCAGAAGTAAGAAAACCATTGAGGTGTCTATTACATTAATCAGGAAAGAGAAGATGGAGTCTGGGAGCAGCAGTGGAGATGGTAATAAATGGCTAGATTCTGGAGAGGTTTTAGGTAAATAACATTTAGAATAAATGATATGTAGTGAGAAAGAATGAGAGCAATCCGCATCACTCATTTAATATTTCTGGCCTGAAGAACTGGAAAGCTGGTTTTGCCATTCTCTAGGAGCCATTCTCTGTTCCCTGGAGGAACAGAGTAGGTTTGGAGGTAGGAGAGGAATTTTTTAAAAAATCACTTCCATTGAGTCAATTCCAAGTGATAGTGACCCTATTGGACAGAGTAGGTTTCTGAGACTCTAACTCATACGGGAATGGAAAGTTTCCTCTTGCTCCTGAGAAGTGACTGGGGATTTCGATCTGCTGACCTGGCATTTAGCAGCCCAACACGTAATTCACTTTGCCACCAGGGCTCCTTAGCTAGAGGGATGGGGGATCAGGAATTCCATTCTGGATTTGGTAACAGATAGTAGTGTTAGTTGCACAACATGGTGAATGCAATTAATGTCACTGAATCATAACCTTTAAAATTGTTCAAGTGACAAGTTTATACACACACTAGTATATGAGAGGCCTTCAAAAAGTTCATGGAAAAGTGAAGTTAAAAGAGAAAGAAATTTTTCGACAAGCTTTTTAAAGTGCCCTACTAGATAAGCACAACAAAAATAAATTGTTTTTACATTCCATTCAACACATTTGGTTTGACATGCTTCTGAGATTGCCAAGTGGAGATGTCAGATAGGCAGCTGGATGTACAAGTTTTCAGTTTGGGAGCGAGAACCAAGCTAGAGATACTGATTTGGAAGCTGTAAATATATAAATGCTATTTAAGGGTATTAGATTAGATTCACTTATTCAGTCGCTGCATGAGTGCAGGCAGACAAGGTCTAGGATGGCAAATGAGGAGACAGTATACATTCATACTCAATCTACCACCACTGTAAGAATCCCAAGAAAGCGAGGACTTGGTCTGCCATAGTTGTTGCTCTATGCCTACCTCTAGGGCAATACCAGGCAAATAGAAGGTTCTCAAAAAATATTTGCTCAATGGAAATTTTTTAAGTCACAGGAGAGAGAATGATGGTTGTACTTCTTTTCGGGCTTTCTGATGTCATGGACACATACTTACAACTTTAGAATCATACTGCAGAAACAGGTGTTTGTTGTTTTTCCCCTCACTATAGCATGGGAAAGGAGCCCTGGTGACATAGCGGGGTACTCGTTGGGCTGATAACCCCAAGATCAGCAGTTAGAAACCATCAGCTGCTTGACGGAAGTTACAATCTCTGAAACCCACAGAGGCCGTTCTACCCTGTCCTACAGGGTAGCTATGAGTCAGAATCAACTCAATAGCAGTGAGTTTGGAGGATTTTGGGATATCCTAGCTATCTTATCAACCCCACTGATTTTGATACCTGTAAAACAGTCCACTGAGTACTTAAACCATAATTTATTTAAAGACCCCCCTATTTTTGAATAGCAAGTTGTTTATATCTCATTAATATATGTAACATTCTGATATAATTCTGAACTTCGATTGCTTCCATAGAATAGGTGCCTAGTTACTGACCTTCTTAGATCAGGAGTATGAACATTTTAAATATATATATCTGGAAAACATTTTAACATGTGTTGGTAAATCACCTTGCAGAGAAGCTGTATCATTTATACTCCCATTACAATGTCTGTAAGCACCTATCTTGCTGCCATCTCTCCAGCACTGAATATTATCTTTGTCAATTTTATAGACAAAAAATGGCATTATGCTGCTTTATTTTGATTATAAGAAAGATTGAACATTCTTCAAATGTTTATTAGCTATTTGAATTTTCTTCTAAGAATAATCTTCCCTATGCTCATTTTTCTATTGTCAAAAACAAGTATTTTGAAGTTAGTTAAAAGCAAAACCGTAACACAGTTAAAAGGATCTAAAATAACTTTACCTAATGCATTTTTCACTTTGTTTAAAGTCTTCTCAGTAAAAGTCCATTTTTACAACCAGTGTGTGAACAACCATCTCTAGGTCAGACTAGTAATTATTGCCCTGCTAACTGTCAGAGATCAGAATTTGCATTTTGCGCTAGGGATACTAGCTTTCTTAAAAGACTAACCATCAATAAGTCATAAC